GCAGGTTACTGGTTAGCGGGGCAGTGTGCTGTAGGGTGACGCAGGCTACTACCTTAGTTGTGTCTCCCCAAATCCATATGTTGCTAGATACCCCCTAGCATGACTGTATTTAGAGGCCGGGCCTTTCAAGAGGTGATCATGGTAAAATGAGGTCACGTGGCGGCTCTAATCCAATGGGGTTGTGTCCTTATAGGAATTGCAGATGAGGACACAGACACACCCAGGGCATGACCGTTGAGGACACAGGGAGAAGGTGGTGTCTACAAGCCAAGGAGTGGCCGCAGGAGGAACCCACCCTGCAAGCACCTTGGTCTTGGAGCCCAGCCTCCGGGCGGTGGGGAACACGGCTCTGCTGCCTGCACTGGCCGCCTCGCGCGTTTGTTTCACATCTACCCAAACCAAGCCCTGCCTCCTGCCCGAGGAAGCCCACAGCCCCGCAGGTGGGCGCCCACCTATGCTGACGTTGCGCATCTCCTGGGTGACCTGGACTTCCATGTTGCGGCTGTCGCGCTTCTCCCGGGCACGCTTGCTGCTCTTGGAGCCCACACCATAGTCCCCCAGGGGCTGCAGGCTCTCGTTGAGGGGTGTGACGGCGGCCGAGGGCACAGAGGATGTGGGCGTGTTGGACTTGGTGCCTGTGGTGCTGGGTGTGGCGGCCGCTGAGGACTGGCCTGACTCGGACATTTCATCCTGAGGACACTAGGGCCAAACACAGGGAGGAGGGAGAGCGAGTCAGCGTCGGCCCCTGGCCTGCGGCTCTGGCGTGGCTGCCTGAGGTCCCGCGCACCAATGCCTTGCACTTTGCTTCGCTCAACACCCTGCGGGCCAGAGCTCCTCTGCCACCCGCCAGGCTAACCCTTCTGGGCCTCACCACTCCTGAGTGGCTCTGCTCATCCGGCCGCTGCCTCTGGCTCCTCAGAAGCAGTGCCACCCTCCTGAAATGGCTCGGAACGGGGCTTTCCACTGACGCCCTCCCCAGGACAATTGCTTGTAATAGGACAGCGCCTTGCCGGGGATACAGCAGCAGCCCCCTGTAGCTTGTGGCTGCTCAGAAACAAGTCTAGCCATGGCAGTGCAGAGGGCTCTGACGGGACCCAAGAAGGGTTGGTCAGGCCACCACCGCTGCCCGGTCACCATCGCTGTGCTGAAGAGCTCGAGGCTAGGCCCACCTGCGCCTGCCCCATGTTCCTCCCCGGGCTCAGGTCAGGGCCAGGTGCTGGCCCTGCGGCTTGACTGGACCAGAGCTCAGCCCTGAACACCAGTGCAAGCACAAAGAAACTGCAATCCTCTTCTCACAGAACGGGACGCCACCAAGATATTCTGGGGGGTGGGGGCAGCCCAGATTATGAGAAAGTGCAACCAGCTGTCTACTTCGGGAAGCTCGTTAGGGAGCAGCACATTCTATGTGATGAATACGGAATGCGAATAAACATTCTTTCCGATGGTCTTTCCTAACAAAGATACTGAACCAGCCCAAGAAAAAAAGCCTCCAACGTTCTCCTCTTAGCTGACCTGATCACCCCCCATACAGAGCTTGCCCGTGGCCCCTGGCCCTCCTTAAGGTACATGAAGAGGCAAGGCCTCAGAGGCACCCTGGTGGCTACTGTGTGTGTCCCAGGCAGCTGCTGGGGGGGAGGGTCCCGTGGTTTCTCAGAGGGCGCACCACGGGGGACTCTAATGCTGAGGATCTCACCCAGGGAGGGGCTGACGAGGGGGTGTCCAGCCCTCTCCACAGCCAACTTGTACCGGCCTTTAAGTGACCAGGGCAGACGGGACTTCCAGAAGTCATGACCAGTTCTGACCTCTGCCTCTGCCCGGCCTCTCTGGTCACTGCCAGGCTCAGGGCATGGAGCCTCTCTGTACCAGACACAGCCACTCACTCAGAGGACAGATTTCTGCTTCACCTACCAGGCTCCTAAGTTTTTCTAGAAGGAATCTCAAAATGACACACCTTCCTCTATAGTAGCCATTCTCAATCGGGCTAACTGCCCCGAGGGGATGCTTGCAAAGTCCAGAGACATTTTCGTGGTCACACGTGAAGGGGGTGCTCCTGGCATTCGTAGGTGGAAGCCAGGGATGACGCTCCACACCCACTGTGTCCCAGCGGCCCAGGGCCATACGCGTCCAGCTCCAAAAGGTGAGCAGTGCCGAGGGAGAGCCTCACGCGGGCGCGGCCCGCCTCCCGGAGCGGCTTTGTGGAAAGGTCTGAGATGCGCTGTGGCTCTGCCACTAGGCCCGGTGTGAGAAGAAAACCCTTGCTCTTCATGTCACCCCCCATGCTGGAGGAAGCGAGTGCCGCTCACACAAGAGTCTGCGCTGACGTTCTCAAAGAACCTGTCTACCCAATGCATCACAGGCACCTGGTGTCCTACTGGACTCTGCCACCACCCGGCAGAGAGAAAATAGGGAACCCCATGTGGCCAGGCAGGGCGTAGCTGTGCACATCAGACAAACGCTTCTGGGCCGCCTTCCTCCACGGCCGGGTCCCCGGCCTGTTCCTGGCCCTCATGGTGGCTGTGGGGAATTCTGCAGTCTGACTGCGCCTCCCCTAGGTGCTCCTAGCTCTCTGTCACCCTATGGGGCCACCACTTACCCATGGGACACTCCCCCTGGCCACAACTTACCTAAAGGCAAACCTCTCAACCTCCTAAACATCAACGTGTAGCAGTGACCTCCAAATGCATTGAAAGAACCCAAACTCTTAGCGGTCATTCCTCACCATGAGTAGCCACAACTGTTTGGTTAAAACACTGAAAATACAGTACATAAAAACAAAAACAAAACAAAACAAAAAACAACAAAAAAATTAAGAAATTAGAAAACCTCAAAACCTAGAGCATAAAATAAAAAGAACTTAAATGTAATAATTTAAAATAAAGAAAAATCAAATAAAACACACCTATGAACGAAAACATAAAACACTACAATTTATGAAGAGAGAGACGATCTCAGACAATGCAGGAGGTGAAAGGAAAGACAACATGAGAAGAAGAGCGGGCCCAGAGCGGGCCTGAGGAGACAGCCCGGAGGCCAGAGAGCGTCAAGCAAGGGCTCCCCCCGGCTGAGGCTGCCGTGTCTTCAGAAGCCTGTGGGCAGGTCCCAGCTCCGGCCCGGGGAGAGTGGGCCAGAGAGTGAGAGGAGGTGGGCCCAGGTGGCAGGGCTGGGCCCAGAAGGCCCGGGGAGCCTGCAGCCCCGCCGCCCTCTCTCCAGCCCTGAGCACGGGGAGGACAGGGGAGTGTGCTGGGGGACTGAGTGTGCTGGGGGACGAGCATCCCAGATGCCATGGGGGAGCTCGCTCCCAGAGCAGCACAACAGCAGGTGGGCTGACGGAGCAGGAGCCTGCAGCAGCCCCCACAGGCACGATGGACACTCAGGGGTGGAATGACAGTCGGCAAAGCGTGCTGCAGGAAGCTTCTGGAGAAGTCCCAGACCCCACATCCACCAGCCCAACCCAGCCCACAGGTCCAGGGGCTCTGTCTCTGTGGACATCCTCCGACAGCCCCTGTGGGAAATCCACCAGACCCGGGCACCCCCTCTTCCCCGGAAGGTGGCTGTCTTTACCTGGCACTGAGGCCAGTGAGCTCACAGGCCAAAACCGGCGGTAAGCGACCGGGGGCCCTGAACGAGTGGCCTGGCTCTGGGCCCCTGCGCTCTGAGGTGCACTCACTGGCTGGCTGTGGGTACCTGCTGGGGCGGGGCTCTGCCTTCTCAAACCCAGGACCCAGGAAGTGTTACCAGCGACAGGCAGGGAGGGGCCCAGAGAGAAGGCGCTTTCTCTTCACCTTTCTGCCAGTGGAGGGCAAACCCCGCACTCTAGACGCTGGCGCTCCTCCGAGAGCAGAGGCGCGGCTCTCAGGGGCAGGCCGTGTCTGGCTGGAGCCCGGGTGAGGGTGAGGCTTTACGTGGGCGTGTGGTTTGAGAGAGGGTCACTAAGCTCAATCCTGACAGGCCCCGGACACCCCTGGCTACAGAGTAGTCAATCCAAGGGCAGGGAGGTCTAGCCTGGACTAGCAAGTGCCGACGCAAGGCCGTGTGGAGCAGCCACAGCCGCACAGGGCCTGCTGGGCAGCCTGAGCCCCTGACACCCTGGCTGGGTTTCTCCATCCTGCCACACAGGCGGGGAGAGGACAAGTGGCCCAGAGAGAGCGGCAAAGGGCTGCCTGCAGACGGGGCTCCCGCCCCAGAGAACGGCGAGCACCAGCAACAGGGAGGGGCCTCTCACTCCACGGCACGGCTACAAAACCTGGTAGCTGGAGCTGGACTGCAGCTGGCCGAGGTCACTCAGGTGCCAGTGGTCCCCCGCAGGCACGAGCTTGCCCCCCATCTGTGCACGTACCGTGCCGTCAGCCAGGGGGAACACGTTCAGGGAGGTGGGGCGCTCCTTCCTGCTGAAATGGGGGGCGAGAGGAGAGGAAGCGATGGTTAGAGGGTGGCGGTGAAGAGAACCCAAGCCCTCCCAGGGCAAGCAGGCCTTGAGTGACAGGGCCGCTCCACACCAGCCCGCAGCCCAGCTCGAGCATCTACTCAGTTACGATCCCACGTGGGGTTTCCCCTCCCACGATGCTGCAGTTTCTCATTTTTATTAAGTTCAATTTTAAACGGACACAAGCCGGGTGTGCTGAGAAGCCCCACAGCAGGGCCGGCCGCGGGACTTGGCATCACAGTCAGCGCCGCGCGGCCACTGTGAGCAATGCCTTTGCGGACCGTGGTCTCCTGTGCGCCCAGCCCTGCCTCCCTGTGGTGTTACCGCCGGCCCTGCCTCTGCCCCCCGCACCAGCAGAGGGATCCAGCCTTCCTGCCCCTGTGCGTTGCTCCTTGGCCCTTCTGCCATCCTCATTGCTCCTGTTCGTGAGGCTGCCTCACTGCAAAATATCTGAACACGACACGTGCAGAGTAAGGACTGACCCTGACACATCTGCCGGAGCCAGAGCCGGAGCCGGAGCCGGAGCCTGAGGCGTCTTCTCCCTCCCCACGCATCGCCTCTGCTGTCAGGGAGCCCCGAGCCTGAAGACGGACCCTGGGACTGCCTGGCCTTGGACAGCCTGGCAAGACGGTAGGAGCGTCGGGGAGCTGGAGGTGGCAGGACAGTGCTCGGTGCCCCCTGCTGTGGGCTCAGTCCCTAAGGATGACCTCCTGTGGGCCGTAAGCAAGAGCAGGGATGGAGCCCAAGGTCTCCCTTCACGTCCTCCTCCACCAGAGGCTTCCAGTCAACAGCCCAGAGGTCCCAGAGGCCAGGCCGACTCCCCACCTCCTCAGGTCTTGGGGGGCAGGCCACGCAGTCCGACGCTGGAGCCTACACTGCTCAAGGCTATTCAGGACAAGAATTTAGAGTCTGCTGGCACCACAGCCTCTGCTGCGTACATCTCAGTCCTGAGGCTGTGGGAGGGAAGGGAGCTTCCTCAGGGGTCCAAGGAACCCACTCTGGCCATGCTTGGAGAATGTAGATGGCAACGGGGGAGCGCAGCGGGTGCTGCTGACTGGGAGCTCCGAAGAATGACCCTGGGAAGGGGTCTCTCCTTGTGGGGTGCATACAGCTCTGGGGACTGGCCGTCTGGTCTGTCATGTTCAGGACAACACCGTATCCTGTAGCACAAGGGTCCCAGGGCCAGCTGGGACCGGGCTGTGCCATCTTGGCCGCTGGTCCATGGCACTCAAGCTGCTCTGGCAATAGCCATGAGGTTGCCTGGCCACCGTGAAGGCAGCCAGCCACCAGGCCCTGGGAGCATGAACCCAGTGGGAGGCTGGGCCTCAACCGCCCTGTCTGCACCAGGGGCCTCCTGGCCCCACTTCCACTGGGCTCCCAACGCTGGTGCGGGCAGCGCCTCTCCTGAGGCCCAGTCCTGACACCATCAGACACGTTTCAGTCCCTAGACCGAAACCGATGTGGTCCCAGCTGTCACCAGATGCTACAGGGGACAGCAGGGACAGAGGGACCTCTGGCCTCCCAGGAGGCCAAAGGAATGCACGTACGGCTCTCCCACCCACACAGCTCCACGACAGGCTGCAGCTCAGCCAGGCCACCGCCTCCGATGGAAATCACCCGGGATCAGGAGCTGCCTTCGCTCTTTCCTTTGCTCTTCCCCACTGGCCCCCAGGCCCTGGCCTCAGGCTCGTGAGCGTTTGCCGACTAACCCCGTACCCCCAATTTGCCCTCGTGGCTCCCTCAGGGGATGCAGATGCTCCCTGGTTCAGAGACCACCGCCCCAGGGGTCACGCCACCCTCGGGGATCACGCTGCCCTTGGGATCATGGGTGTGCTGCCGGCTCTGACACAGGCTGGTGAGTGAGGGAGCTGGGCGACGAGTCCAGGTCCGACTGATGCAGACGGGGGGCCTTCCTTGGCCCGTCGGCCCCCCGAGTCAGCACCAGCCCCACCTGACCCACGCCCCTCCTTAGCAGGAGTCGGCGCTGTGCCTTCGTCTGTGACCAAGGCGGTACTTGTGGAGCGAGGGCAGAGCATAGACGGCCGGGAGGGCAGCGCTGCCCGACTGCGTGGCTGTGCAGGGGACCCAGCGGTTGTCACCTTCTCAGTGTCAGTCTCATGAACACGGCCAGGCAGCCCTTCAGACCTCTCACATCTGCCACAGGAAACACCTCACAGCAGACCAAGTAGCCATCTTGGGCTGATAACCGACGCCCTAATGTGCCCGCTGTTTGGCCCCCAGCACCACATTAGACACACCTCATGGGTTTTACCTTTTCCTCCACGACTGGCGAGGACTGCAGGGCAGCGACAGACACGGCAGCACACGGCAGCGACAGCACAGAGGGCGAGACAAGGAGACAGGCGTTAGAGGGCGTGGCCGCAGCGTGCGCACACGCTACATGGATGGTCAGCACGTGGTGATGGCACAGAGGGCGAGACAAGGAGACAGGTATTAGAGGGTGTGGCAGCAGCGTGCACACACGCTCACATGGACTGTCGCACGCTTGCATGGACGGTCACACAGACGGTCAGCATGTGATGATGAGACAGGCGTTAGAGGGCGTGGGCAGCAGCGTGTGCACACGCTCGCATGGATGGTCACACAGACGCTCAAACGGATGGTCACACGCTCACACGAATGCTCACACGGATGCTCACATGGATGGTCACACGGATGGTCACACGCTCACACAGTCACACGCTCACACAGATGGTCACACGCTCACACGGACGGTCACACGGATGGTCACACGGATGGTCACACGGACGCTCACATGGATGCTCACACGGTCACACGCTCACACAGATGGTCACACGCTCACACGGACGGTCACACACACAGACGCTCACATGGATGGTCACGCTCACATGGACAGTCATATGGATGGTCGTACAGACACACAGACGGTTACACACTTACATACATGTTCACATGCTCACACAGTCACATGGATGCTCACTTGGACGTTCACATGGATGCTCACATGGATGGTCACATGCTCACATGGATGGTCACACAGACACACGCTCACACGGACGGTCACACGGATAGTCACACGGATGCTCACACTCACACAGATGGTCAGGCTCACATGGATGGTCACATGGACGGTCACACGGATGCTCACATGCTCACATGGATGCTCACACGGATAGTCAAACGCTCACACAGATGGTCACGTGGACGATCACACATATGGTGAGACGCTCACATAGATGCTCACATGGATGCTCACACGGATGGTCACGTGCTCACATAGATGGTCATACAGACGGTCACATAGACGCTCACATGGATGGTCACATGCTCACACGGACACTCACATGGATGGTCACATGAGTGGTCACATGCTCACACAGTCACATGCTTGGATACTCACATGCTCACATGGATGGTCACAGGGATGCTCACATGGATGGTCATACACTTACACGGATGCTCACATGGACGGTCACATGGTCACACAGATAGTCACACGCTCACACGGATGGTCACACGCTTACACGGACAGTCACATGCTCACATGGATGGTCATACAGATGCTCACATGGACGGTCACACAGATGGTCATATGCTTACAGGGACACACAGACGGTCATACGGACGGTCACACGCTCACTTGGACGCTCACACAGATGGTCACACGCTTGGATGGTCACACAGACGGTCACATGGACGCTCACACAAACGGTCACACGCTCACAAGGATGCTCACATGGACGCTCACATGGACACTCACACAGACGGTCACACATGCTCACATGGACGGTCACACACTCACATGGATGGTCATACGGTCACATGCTCACTCGGATGCTCACACGGATGCTCACATGGACGGTCACATGCTCACATGGATGCTCACACGGACGGTCACACAGACGGTCACACCCTCACACAGACGCTCACATGGACACTCCCACGCTCACATGGATGCTTCCACGGATACTCCCATGGACGCTCACATGGACGCTCACATGGATGCTCCCACGGATGCTCACATGCTCACACGGACGCTCACACGGATGCTCACATGGACAGTCACATGCTCACACGGACGCTCACGCAGATGCTCACACACTCACATGGATGCTCACACAGATGCTCACACAGTCACATGCCCACACAGACGCTCACATGGACGGTCACACGGATGCTCAACACGGACGGTCACATGCTCACACAGTCACACGGATGCTCACATGCTCACACGGATGCTCACACGGACGGTCAAACGCTTATATGGATGCTCACATGGTCACATGGACGCTCACACACTCACATAGATGCTCCCACGGATGCTGCCACAGATGCTCACATGCTCACACAGACACATGGACGCTCACATGGACAGTCACATGCTCACACGGACACTCACATGGACGCTCACATGGACGCTCACACGGACGCTCACACGGAGGGTCACATGGATGCTCACACGGATGCTCATACGGACGGCCACATGGACGCTCAACACGGATGGTCACATGCTCACATGGATGCCCACATGCTCACATGGACGCTCACATGGACGCTCAACACGGACGGTCACATGCTCACACAGACGCTCACACGGACACTCACACGCTCACACGGACGCTCACATGGATGCTCACATGGATGCTCACACAGACGCTCACGCTCACAGAGATGCTCACACGGACGCTCACACGGATGCTCACACGGACACTCATGCTCACACGGATGCTCACACGGACGCTCACACGGACGCTCACACGGACGCTCACACGGATGCTCACACGGACACTCACACGCTCACATGGATGCTCACACGGACGCTCACACAGACGC